TGAAAACAAGTATCCATTTTTCTCTTAGGTGCAAAGGTGTTTTATATTTCTATCAAGTCAAGCTAGAATACATCAATAGCAATCATGCCAGATTTCATGTATATGTTATGAACATAGCCACACTTAACAAAGACCATGGCATTTTTTCTGCTGTTTTCTTTCACATGGTTTCTTCAGTAACTAAAAAGTTATTCTGTAGCTTCCCTAGTATTTTCTATATGTTTATGAAAAGTGAGTTTGTGTGGCTATCATACATGAGACTTCATAGACTAAAGGAGAATAAAGAAAAGAATATAGATGGGTGCTAGTTTTCTTCTTCAGTTTAAATGGACATAAAAGACAAAATGATAAATTTATACTTTCTGAAAAAAAAGGGTTTTGAGGCTTCTTTAGATGTCAGAAATATATAACAAATTTGATAATTTGGACATCAAGAAAATGTAACAAATATTTAGTTTACTTCACAAAAAGTTCTTATATTAAAAATTATTAAGTACTAACCCCAAAGGGATAAAGAGTGAATATCAAAATCTTTTGTTTGAGTTAGGTCTAAATATATATATTGATTATTGATTTCAGAGAGGAAGGGAGATAGAAACATCAATGATAAGAGAGAATCATTGATTGGTTGCCTCCCACACATCCCCTATTGGGGATCAAGCCCACAACCCAGGCATATGCCCTTGGATGGGATTGAACCCGGGACCCTTCAGTCTGCAGGTTGATGCTCTATCCACTGAGCAAAACCAGGTAGGGCAGATCTAATTATTTTAAAGGTATAAAAAGTTTGTTTTGGAAAATATTTACGGGTTCATCTTTTTGGAGAAGTGAAGTGGAGAAATAAGATGTTTCAGGCTTTTTCACATATCAGGAAAGCATTTTCATTTTTGGAAAAGAGCAGGAAGGGAAGAGGGCTGAGAAAGAGGGAGGAAGGATTTCGAGCTGAATCCTTCATTTTAACTCTCTTGGATTTAAGAATAAAAGTGCTTCAGTTCTCCAACTAACCAGGACTAGGGATTCTGATTTCTAGAGAATAAGCTGTTTAAACCATTGTGGGGTTTTGCTCATAGAACAGCTGACCAGTTCCTGAAACGTTCCTTAGAAATGAGGGAGCGCGTTCTGGGACCAGATCACCCTGACTGTGCCCAGTCTTTGAATAACCTGGCGGCTCTATGCAATGAAATGAAACAGTATGAAAAGGCGGAAGAACTTTATGAAAGAGCTTTAGACATTCGGAGACGAGCGCTAGCTCCTGATCACCCTTCTTTGGCTTACACAGTGAAGCATCTCGCAATCTTGTATAAGAAAATGGTAAGTAATCCCTGGAGTGCTTGCATGTGTTTTATAATACTATAGCTATTAAACCATAATTGCCATCAGCAACATCATTTGCCTTCTGATAGATTTTTTTAATGACTTTTCATTGATTTTTAAAGAGAGGAAGGGAGAGGGAGAGAAACATCAATGTGATGAACATCAATTGGCTGCTTCCTGCACTCCTACCCAAGATCAAGCCTGCAATCTGGGCATGTGCCTTGAGAGGAATCAAACTGGCAACCTTTTGATGCTCGAGACGATGCCCAACCAACTTAGCCACACTGGCCAGGGCTGGATAGATTATTTTCTATGAGCTTTTAAATCATAATGATATAGTTTTATAACAAATAGCTGAGTAGTACATTTAAAAATATTATTTCAGACTGAATAAATTAAAGCGCTGGTTTGGTTTTGTTAAAATACATTCTAAATACAAATGCATTCATCAGCATTCTAATTAAACTTATTCTCATATTACATTTCAGAAGTTCTGAAATTCACCTGTATTGTTTGCTGTGTTAAGCTATCATAAGCATAAATCACCCAATTGTCATGGCTAAAGGAAGAGTTTTTGTAATTGATAAAATGAGCATTTTAATTTCACTTTTTTCTTTGTCTACAGTTAAAAGTAATGAACTAAACACCATTCTTTGCCATAGGGTTCTAGCCAGAGTAATGTTTGGAACTTTTATAGCTTTTCTCCAAAAAGTGCCAGAGGAGTTTGCTTTCATTTAGCGCAGTGTTTCTCAACCTTGGCTGCACATTAGAATCACTTGGGAATCTTTTTAAAATCCTGATTTCTGGGCCTCATTCCTTTAGTGGCAATAACAGAACAGCGGCAGGCCTTCTCTACATTTTACAGGACGCTTTACTGGTCATTCAGGCACGAAGTTGTTGTTATTTCTCCCCAACAAGTAAAAAAGAAATAATTGGAAAAATCAGAAAAGGATTTGGTGGAAAATGAGTTTTTATTTTGACGTCATCTCCAAATTATGTATAGTAGCAAACATATATAGGGTGGGGCAAAAAGTTTACATAAATAATTGTTAATTGTATTACTTTCCATATAAACAACTATAAACCTACTTTTGTCCTACCCTGTACTTTAATTGTAAGGTTTTTACTTTACCAGAAACAGTGAGTAATAATGGGTGATCCTAAAGAGCTTTCTGAATTATCAAACAAAATGTTTTATATTCAGTATAACTTTACTTACATATTCTACTAGAGCAGCGGTTCTCAACCTGGGGGTAGAACGACCCTTTCACAGGAGTCACCTAAGACCATCAGAAAACACATATATAATTACATATTGTTTTTGTGATTAATCACTATGCTTTAATTATGTTTAATTTGTAACAATGAAAATACATCCTGCATATCAGATATTTACATTACGATTCATAACAGTAGCAAAATTACAGTTATGAAGTAGCAACGAAAATAATTTTATGGTTGGGGGTCACAACATGAGGAACTGTATTAAAGGGTCACGGCATTAGGAAGGTTGAGAACCACTGTACTAGAGTTTAGCTATCTAAAAACTTAACCATTAAACTGGGAGGTAATGCTTCTGAATTTTTTTCTCAAAAATTACTTTTTGATACAAAAGTTTGTGGAAAAGTTCTAATCAGGTAATATTTATTGCTTTAATATTCTTGTTAGATTTCACTTTTGTGTTTTAGGGGAAACTTGACAAAGCTGTACCTTTGTACGAGCTGGCTGTTGAAATCCGGCAGAAATCTTTTGGCCCAAAGCACCCTAGTGTAGCTACTGCCTTGGTGAACTTAGCTGTTCTCTACAGCCAAATGGTAAGTTCCCACACTTTAACTCTTTAAAAATGAAGTGTTTAGGCATGATATAGGTAAACATGAATTAGATGTGGCACAGTAAAATTAATTAGAGGAAGTTGAAGGTTATTTATCTACTAATGCTTTCTTTAGTACTTGAGAAATTATTGAAGTCACACCCCTCTTAGTGTAAAGCACTGACTGTTTAGTTCATTGTATAGGCTGTTTTTAAATTCTGGAGACTCCCTACATCTCTCTATCTAATATATCTTTAAGCTTCAACATTTGCCTGTGATGGGTGAGAAACACGTATGGTACCAACTGGGCGATAAAGAAACACATAGTTTGTGTTTATATAATTGGATTAAGGTCAATGGTTACCAACCCAAGTCTAAAGCCAGTTTCTGATTTTCTATTTTACTGTTTCTCCTATGATGATTACTTATAAATTAATCTGTTTATCCACGTTTTAGGAGGATATTAACATTTAAAAAGTGCTTATTCAACTTGTCAGCTTAATCTAGAATACATTAATAGTAATTTCATAAACCCAGAGTATCCAAATGAGTGTTAATTTTTTTAATAAGAAAAAACACATTGAAGCCTTGCCACTGTATGAAAGAGCATTAAAGATTTACGAAGACAGCCTGGGTCGGATGCATCCTCGAGTTGGAGAAACTTTAAAAAATTTAGCTGTGCTCAGGTAAGAATTTTTTTACTTTCCTCATACATCTTAACTACCTTTTAGAACATCTTTTAATTTGACTCATCATGGAACAACAAAAAGATCCTTACTGCTGAATGCTTTTTCTTGGAGGTGGGTTGTTTCTGGTTGATTTCCTTCAGAGATACAGTAGTATCTAGAAGTGAAACGAAGGCTACACAATGTATTTTACAGAAGAGTTTATCATGGCAAATAGTGAAGGATGGTTTACATGTACAACCAGCTGGGTCTGCAATAATATGAGCAATTTGCTGTCCTCAGAGCTCATTTACCATGAAGTACATGTTGACTTCTGCTCTGTGTGTATTCAACTCAGGACATAGAATATCTAATTTCCCTTAGCAATTTCACTGCATCCTTCACAACACAGTCCTAATGGTGTCCATGAGGTACTGAAATGTCCCTTAGCAGTACAAACAGAAAGGAAAAGAGTTTGGGTGTTCTACTTTTTCTGGTCTGTTTTAGTAAATAAACACACTGGAGGGGAAATGAGTGATTATTCACTTTTTTTTGTGGGGTTTTTTGGAGGAGGGTATCCTATGAGGTCATTTAGAATTGTTAGAAGGTTATATTCTGATTTTAAGAGGTTTTTATTTTCTCTCAAAGCTATGAAGAAGGGGATTTTGAAAAAGCTGCTGAACTGTACAAAAGAGCGATGGAAATAAAAGAAGCAGAAACGTCACTTTTGGGTGGGAAAGCTCCTTCCCGACACTCATCGAGTGGAGATACATTTAGTGTAAAAACAACCCATTCTCCTAATGTTTTCCTTCATCAAGGACAAAGGTAGAAGGAGCAATCACAATTCACTGCAAATGCATATTAGAAGAAAATAATGAAAAAACATTTGGGACATTAGAATTTAAAACTTACTAAAAATGTTTTTAAGAAATTTTATTTTTACTTTGTCTGATTTAAGTGGTATTTGTATTAAATTGTATTGGGCTACATTGAAGTTGAGTCATGATTATGTCCGTTTTAGTTAAAAGAATTAACTTCCCAGTTGTGTGGGATCCAGGGCTGCAGACGCTAGAATCCTAAGATGCCATGAAGAATAAATTGGTCTCTGTTCAACAAGAGCTGGCAGAGCAGTTATGCAGGGAGTTCAAGAACTGCAAGATTCTTTTCATCTCTCATAAGTACTTTACCTCACCATTCCTTATGTTCCTTTTCAGCAGTAGTCTGGCCCAATTCTCTACCTCAAAGAAAAATTTCAAGGAATAAAGGGATAATGTTTATGAAAAGTATGAATTGCCTTCTGTAAAATGACTAGTAACAAGAATCTCTGTTACTTTTTTTTTCTTCAAATTCTACCGTTTCCTTGAGCAGATTGGGCCAAGTCCTCTGCTTTCTGTGCTCTGTACATTGTATATTATTTGTCTGGGTAGTATATATCTGCATAATCTGAAGTCATTAATGCAACAAATCAAGCTTGTTGGCATTCTTTGGCCTTACCCAATATATGGACGTGACATTCTCTTCTTTTTTCTTAAATTACCCAAATCTGTCTCTTCATTTATCTCCAACTCAAATTAGTCTGCCTTTTATACTGAAAATTAAATATTTTTTATAGCTTTTGTAAATATTGCCACATTTTGGATATTATTTTGTACCATCTATGTATTTATATATAATAAAATCTTCAATTTTAATACTTGGTAAAAGACATAACCATACTCTACTGTTTTAAAATAAAAGTGCAATTTTAAGTTTCCCCTTTTCTACTCAATACAAGAGGGTTATGTAACTAAGAAGTACATTACCAAAAGGACTGCGTGTTGTCACTACTTGCCGAGTAGTTTGCTCCACTTAAGCTTTGGTGACTGTCTAGGCTTTTGGTGACTTTAAGGCCTGGGTACTCACAGGGTGGTCCATGAACCCACCATCTGGAAGCTTGCTAAAAATTCACTCTTGAGATTCTCCCCAGACCTACTAAATCAGAATCAATTTAGCTAGATCCTTGGATGATTCAGATGCGCATAAATTTGAAAAGCAATGGTCTAACTCTAAGGCACTACAGTGGTGACTGAAAAGAAATTAGGTAGGGTCTTATAAAGCAAACAGCCTTCTTCCCCTGCTTTTGAGAGACATTCAAAGGGGATGGGGGGGAACAAATATGACCATAAAACATCTTTCTGAGTTTGCCAGCTATGAAAGGCACAAGTAATTTAATTTACAAATATACCAAACATTGATTTTATAATTAAGCTACTTAAGAGTTTAAAATTTGATTATTTGGTGATAATAGTAAATTAATACAAGTAATATATTAAGTTTAAATGCTAAAACTGCTTTAGAAAATAATTTGAGATCAATGTACTAGAAGAACCTTGAAAAAAGGCAAAACTAGCAAAAGAGTAATATCCATTTAGTAGCAGTAACAAAATTTGGACTTGAAAATGAGAGAAAATGGAAACTTTTCATATTCTTCAAGTTAATGTTATGGTAAAGTTATTATGGTAAAAATTCACTAATTATATCTGGGGGGCAATGTCTATTTCAAAAAGTTTAAGTTTAAATATAATTTTTAAAACTATTTTGATCATACTACTTAATTGTACTACCAGCTCAAATGTTTTAATATGGAATGCCTACTTATGAAGAAAAAAATAGCTGGGACAGACATTTCTTTATGTGTATTTGAGGTTCTCAAATTGGAATATTATGTTCACTTTCATATACACCTTCATGATGAAAAAGGTAGCTTTCAACAACTCATAGTTATAAAACTGAATTGCTAGGATCCAAATTATGTTAGTTATAATTAATTTTATTAATAAAACTTTATAGAAAGGAATTTAAAAATGCAATTTGGGAGAGGTCAAAGCTTCGTTAATAAATACTCTTAAATGAGATCAACCGAAGGACTTGTATGCATGCATATAAGTATAACCAATAGATGCAAGACACTGGTGGGAGGGGGCGGTGTGAGGGCATGTGTCAGGGGGTAGGAGAGGCGGGGGGGAGGTCAATAGGGAAAAAAAGGAGACATATGTACTACTATTTGTAATACTTTAAACAATAAAATTAAAAATAAATACTCTTAAATGGTTACCTGTGTTGATCAGGGTGTTTGTAGGTATTCAGGGAGTATTTTTATATGAAGAAACCCATAGTACATATTTTCTTAACTATAAAACTTTTGAGTACTATCACAAATTCTCATTAACAATGAGGGAAGGGATTAAGGTTGAACATATGGTTTGTTTTACTAGAATTTAGAGCCTTTGTGCTACGGCAATTTTGGGAGTGTGTTTCTCTTTCACATTAGAAACAATAGTGTTAATCTTGTCAAGCACCGTGGGTTTATTTAGTAGTGTGAAATTCAGTAAGGATTAATAATCAGCTGCCTACATACAAGTTTTCATGGCAATCAGATTGTCAAGAGAGCACTCTAGGTTGCAAAAGATACCTGTTACCAGATTTCTTTTTTCTGGTAAAATAATCCAGTAACTATTTTTTTAAAATATATATATTTTTTAATTTCAGAGAGGAAGGGAGAGGGAGAGAGATAGAAACATTAATGATATGAGAAATTCTTTGGAAGGCTGCCTCCTGCACGCCTCACACTGGGCATTGAGTCCGCAACCCAGGCATGTGCCCTTGACCAGAATCAATACCAGGAGGTTAAAAAAGGAATGGGATTTAAGAAGACTGGATTTTTTAATTTTTTCTTTTTTTTTTGAAATTCAAACATCTCTAGTAACTAGAAAAGTTAGTTATTTTATAGAGGAATACATTAAATTTTTAAAATATAACAAATGACCTAGAAAAGCAACTTAAGTTTCAAGGCTAGAAAAACTATCCCTCTGCCTTCCTGCCATTATTTTAAACATAAGAATCACAATATAGTCCTAAAATCACAAAACTAATATATTGAACATATTTTTGATCTGTGGGCCTTTCTGAAATAAGTTTTTAGAACTTTATTTTACAAGTAGGAAATGCACTTTTTAATTTTTACTAACATTGTCAGCCTACAAATACAGTTTAGACATTCCTATCTTCAAAGAAAAATAATAATAATCAGAATAGGAGATTAGCAATAATAGCCTACAGATCTTACCTTGGCTTCTGTCTTCCTCCTTCATGACGTTATATGGGCACTTGCTCAAATAATGGTTACACATGCATGTTTTTATACTGGTCTCCAAACCACTGGAATTTTATTTCAACCAAGGCTCTCTAAGCCTTCATTATTTATATACAACTCTAGGAAAAAACAGTTTTATCAATTTATGATTTAGAGGTCATGAACTGGGAAAATGATACTCTTCCAGTAAATAAATATTATCAATCATTTCAGAGGCACTTTAGGCCTCGTTAATGCCCTATCCAGGATAAACCCTTTCCAACATTTAATTACCTGGGGAATCACATTTAAGTGAAATAAAATATAAGGTAACCCATATCATGGGTATAATCTAATCTTAGCCTAAATTTATCCATTACTCCTCAATAAAGTACAGTGGTTCCAGGTATATGTCCACAGATGCAATGATTTCCTTGGTCAATGCAGAAATATAATTTGTACTTCCTCAAAGTACCTTTATCTGTCTACCCATGAAAAAAACTTCCTTTTAGTGGCCTGATTTTGAATATATAACCCACAAGTTTACAACTTTTCCACTGACTACATTTCAATTTGTAATCAGGAAACATTTCAGAGAATGTTATTATTTTATAGGTTAACTATTTTAAATTCATTGCTGGCCAAGTTAGTAGTAGTGGGCAGTTTTCTTGTAGAGAACAATTCCAAAACAATGAGTACTTGGCCTGCTAGCTCAAATCAGCAGGTTGTACCTCTTGCTCTTTTCCCTGGTATTTCAGGACCACATACTGCTTTATTGCCCCTGCCCACAAAGGATTACTGGAAAGAAAAGGAATGTGTACAGCATCAAATTGGTCCTTTCTTCCATCCCTCACAAAAGGCCAAAACATTTCAATGGCTAAGTTTTCAATAAAACTTATAACTGCCTAAAATAATCCTTTGAAATTTTTTTACTAGAATGAAACATGAGTTTTAGGAGAGTTATTGATTTAGTTAAGGGTGAGGTAACAACAAGCAACAGTAACAGTATTTTCAAAAGTGTAACAATTTAGCAAAGAATACACATCAATTGATGTTGCCCTAAGTTTTGTCAGTTTTAAAATTGACTTTTTTTAATTGCAAAGGAATAGGTTTAAACACAGAAAATAAAATATAGTCCAGTCCATTATCTACATATTCTTCATCTTGGCCATGAGATCTTCCAAGCTTTCACCAGAATCTTCCACTGTTACATCAGGAACAGAATCTTCTTGCTATCAACAAATGAGGGAAACAAAGTGAAAAAATAACCTAAATTCTTGGTGCTTAGAAATATATAATCAGTAAGCTTTAACCATGTTCAACAAGTTTACAAAGTAAACTTTCTTTAGTACATATACCTTCTAAGTTTTAGGAGAGACAAAGTCCTTTACTTTCCACACCTGTCTTTTGATTCACAAGGCAGTAATTTCAATTTTCCTGAGATATCTACTAAAGTGGTACTTTTAAATGGTATTGTGGCTAAAACAACTAATTTAGAAATATAATATTTTCATTTAGTCAAAATCTATTTGACTTGACCCATTAATAAGTGAACAAAACTATTTTATACTTGTTTTCAAACAGTTAAATTGTGCTGTGCATATGTCCATATTAGCACTGAATACATCTCTTTCAGACATCTTAATGCCTATAGTAAAATATCTAATACAGGAAGTACTGTGCTGGCATTATAAAGGATGAAGATGAAAGATAAACACTTTTTTCATGTTATTTACTTATGGTAAATCGGATTTTAGATGTACCTTTTGGGGAACTGTATAGGCCACTGTAATTCCTTCAGGTAAGTCAGGAACTGGACCTGAAGAATTTTTCAGTTCCTCTTCTGAAACCTCAGATACCAACTCAATACCTGTAGAGTTAAATTGGACCTTATTACAGTTTTTAAGGAACTTAAGCAATAACAACTCAAACTTGTATAACATTAATTATGAGATTCCCTCCCATAAAAGATAAGTCATATGCTGCCATTTCCATTTATGAAAGAACTCCTACCCCACTCATTGTCTTCATGTATTATCTCTTCCTCTTCTTGAACAACCTCCTTTTTGGGCAGTGCTGCTACCTTTTCCTGTAGAAATCAAACAGTATCAAAGCATTTTTATTCATTCTCAGTTCTCCCAAGCATTAATCAATAATTCAGGCAGGCTTTTTATCCTACCAAAAGCAAAAAAGGACTTTGAACAGAATTTTCATTTGGAGGGATGGTAAATAAATTAAAAGTTTAAGGACCCAGAATCCAATTATCTTAAATTCCAAATTTAAATAATTTTTTTTTCTTTTTTTAAGCTATTATCCTATGCAACATGTTCTCACACATTCTGACAGACTGGCATATACCTTATATTCTTCCTGCTGTTTCCTGCAATTTCTGTCATCGCACTGAGGATTTGGCTTCATGGACATAGTAGGAAAAAAATCCTGCATTGCATTGTATCCGAGGTAAAAACTAACAGTACCAAATTTTAACAGAAACCTGGAAAAACAAATCAAAGTAGACTTAAATAAATAAAAGGATAAAAATATTTTAAAAATCAGATTTTTAAAAAATTAAATCTTTATTGTTGAAAATATCACATATGGCCTCCTTTTCCCCCCCATTCTGTAACAAGGAACAAAGAAGATAAATTTATCATCTTGTTTTCAGGGCCTGGCTCATAAAAGATATTTGTTGAATGAAAGCAGGAAAGAAAACTCTTTCATCAACCATAGAACTCTTTTTTGAAACTCTAATAAAGATAAAATGCTGCCAATTAAACTATGGTTATGTCAACAACTTTAAAAAGCATGCTGATTTTAGAGAGATTAAAATGTGGAAGAATATATTAAAAATTCCTGCGACGTGATACTAAATCTAACCAATTTAAAATATTTTATATAAAACTTACTATAATGTTTATAATCTTAACTGTACAGTTCAATACAATTTTACAAAAGTATTCACTCATGCAATCACTACCAGAGCAAAATATAGAACATTTCCAGTATGCCACGTAGCTTTCTGTGCTCCCTGCTGGTCCAATCTGATTCTTTTTAGAAAATCATGTATATAAGATAAACAACAAAAGGAAAAATATTTGCAAATTTATGTTCTTTTTTATTGTTTTTAGAAAAAGAGAAACATCAATCTTTGTTTCATTGGTTGATTCTTGTTTTTTAAATTTTATTTATTGACTGATTTTTAGAGAGAAAGGAAGGGAGGAGGGGAAAAAGAAACATTGATTTGTTGTTCCACATATTTATGCATTCACTGGTTGTTTCTTATATGTGCCCTGACAGGGGCTCGAACCTGCAACCTTGGTGTATCAGGATGTCACAATAAACAACTCAGCTAGGATGTAAATGTATGTTCTTAATATACATCAAGGGAAAAAAAAATTTGAGCAAAGAATATGAGCATATAATTCACATAAAAGTACAAGTTGCTCAAGTTATCACAAATAACAAAATGGAAAGAGATACCCATTCTTCACCTATTAGATTCACCAAGATTAAAGAGTTTTACAATATCAAATTATATCAAACGTGTGGGTGGACTAGGTACTCCTACACTGTGATGGAAATGTATAATCCCTTTGAAAGAAAAATTTAGTAATATATCAAAAAATTTGCATAAGCCCAGAAACTCCACTCCTAAAAATTAAAACTGTACAAAAATCTAGTATACAAAGATATGTGAAAAGCTATTGTTTGCAGCATTATTAATAATTTAAAATCAGTAAGCAGCCTAAATGTCCATCAATAGAGGGCTTATACTATAAATATGACACGTAAGAGAGTAATTTATAGTCATGATTTCCCCCTTTTCATATCAGTCTATGAAATGTTTTGTTTAGTTTGCACAAGCTATGAAATAGCTCTAGACAGTTGCCTTAAGAGTTCTTATGTATGCTTTATACAATATCTTTGCTGGTAGTGGACACTTCTGATATCAAAGTGCCTCCCTATAGCATGTTGCAGTTTGTTCTTATATTGGAGGTTTAGGAAACATAACTAAGCTTATTAGAGTTGTAACAAAAAATGGCCTGAGAGAAGGAACACTTAAAGGAGTTGTACTTTTAATTAAGTGTGAATTGATTCAAAAACTCTTTGACATTAATTTTAGCTGTAAAGAAACCTTTGTCCTTTTTAGTTATAGTCAGGGAGGTCTATGATTTTCAACCAGTGTGTTGTAATAATCTTTTTAAAATATGTTTTTATTGATTTTAGAGAGAAAGAGGAAAGGGGAGAGAGGAAAAAAAAACACCAAAAAACATTGATGAGAGAGAAGCATTGATTGGCTGCCTCCCGCATGCCATCAAGCCTGCAACACGGGTATGTGCCCTGACCAGGAATGGAATCGGTGACCTCTTGGTGCACAGGACAACACCCAACCAACTGAGCCACACTGGCCAGGGCTGCAAGAATTTTTAAAACATGCAATACCTGTCCATTTAAATTATGTCTAGTAAGGTATATTACATACAAATAAAAAGTATATGATATACATAGTATACAAAATAAAAATATATTTAAAATTAAATTTTAAAAACTAAATTAAATACTTTGGTGGTAGTTCCTATATTTAAAATATTTCATGAAATATATATATTTTTTTATCAAAACAAGACTATTCAGAAAAATTAACCTTCACTCACTTTAACACATTTTGTACCAAGATCCCAGCAACCACGCCCATAGTGGTAGGAAGACTGGCTGCACAAACGCCCTCTCGTTTCAGAGTCTTTTCATCAATATTTGCAGCAACTACAAGTGGTGGGGCACACTACATGAAAAAGAATAAAAGAAAATATATTTCAAAGAAAGGGGAAAAGTATGTGTTACAAGTAGCAGTTAATCATATTCAAAGTCTGTTTTTCTTTGAACTGTAATACATATTCAATGCCCCTAGGAACTCTTGTATTTAGTGAAAAATAACCCAAAGTTAATTATACATACCGCAAAACAAGCAGATTCTCCAGGAATTATAAGCTGTATGTGCCCCGAAACTGCATTTTCACTGACCCCAGACTCCATCCATGTTTGTCCAAGTTCATTACAAGCCTTGATAGAAGTAGATAAAAATAAAAGAAAGGACATAAAAGAGCATGACATAACGTACCATAATTTTTTTTCATGAAAAAGTGGCATTTAAGTGGATTACCATGCATTTTTTAAAATTAATTTTCAGAATAAAAAGTTAAAGTTTTAAATAATGGAATTCCTTGGCAATTGTTACTCTCTGTTTAGGGGAGAGGTCAATGTGGGGAAAAGGAAACATATGTAATACTTTCAACAATAAAGAATTTAAATTTTTAAAAATGATAAATAAAATAAACTGACAGGTAAGCAGTCAATAAATATCTAATTAAATTAAATCTATTGGATTTCTTATTACATTAATGTAAAACTTCATTTTTCTAAAATTATTTCAGCAACAAAAATGTAAAACTTCATTTGAAAAGCTAAAACACAATAATTTAAAGAAAAGAATTCAGTTTTATTTTTCAGAAACCATGTTTAAAGGCAATTTATATATATTTATATCTTTACTGAAAAATAAAGTAGCAGAAGTTAAAACCAAAGCTGACCAAGAGTATTATAAGATATTCATTTATTTTAAAAATAGTACATCACAACTATCTGCTATTTTATAGTTTCTTCTATTGGCATCAGAGAGTAGAATATTGAAACCTATGCCACAATAGCAAGGCTAAGCAGGTCCCACAGCCATTAGAAAACATTTCAAAAATAGGCTAAGGGAACATTAAAAATAAGTAAAACACATTATAAAAGGGTTTAGATGCAGAACTATTTTTAGGATGGGAAATATATACTGATAGAAGATACAGAATAGATAAATCCATGAGTGTAACATTTTACACAGTAGGAATACTCACTGTATTTATTGCCATTCGAGCTTCAAAATTATCCACACAGCTAAGAACTAGGTCAACAGGTTTTCCATCTTCTAATCCACCATTACTAGGCAAAGAAAATAAATGTTATTTGAAAAAAATCAGGACACAAAATACTCTAATTAGACTTTATTTGTTCAGTCACACATTTGCTATTTCATGTTTAAGTATAATTATAATATACTAAGTATTTAATATTAAAGATCCAGTATATAGAGAGTATTGAGTAACTATTATGAATATAACATCAATGATATTATAGTACTTTTTACACAAGACCTACAAGGATGCAAGTATAAAGTCTGTTTACAAAAGTTACCATTTACCTATTAGCTCTCAGACTTTTATTTAAATGTAATAATTGAATACAATTCATTATTTTAGTGGTATCACAAGAGTCTCTGCAGAAAACCACTTTCAGACAGAAATATATTCTAGAACACAAAATGTATAATTGAGGATTCCTTGTTATACTATTATAATAATAGGGGTTTGGGGTTAGTTTTTCTTTTGTTGTTACCATTGTATTTTGGACAATATATACTTTTTACTGAGCTCCCAGTATATAAAAATTACACGAAAATTAACTATCCTAAAAACAAAACTATATTTCATTCTACCAATGCATTAAATTAATCATTTGCACATTTTCTATAATACTTGTTTAACTGAGCTGGACATGTGCAAAATATTCATAAGTAAAATTTTACCTTATTCTATCCATGAAATGTTGAAAGTTTTCTACTGTGGTTATGTTATAGTTGTGTACTTCAAAAAGAACATCAGGATTAATGTTCCTAAGAGGGGAAAAAGGAATGATTATGGGAGGAATAGTAAGAGAAAGCAGGAAAAAGTACTAAAGATCATTTAACAGAGATCAGAGAAATGGAATTTAAGCTATTCAAAGAAAATCCTAAGTCCTCTTCTACCTCTTTTGTCCCACATCAAGGACTAAGTTCAAGGCTAGGTTTATAATGTGTAGATTATCAGAAGGCTTACAAAATGTTCCCACAGCCTGTGTACTGAAAATTAAGTCTTATCCCCCCGTTAGCTACATTTCAGCCAGACAAAAGAGCTCCTTTGTTCCTTATTCAATTCAGTGCATTCAATTTTCTTTGGGCTCACAAAGAAAATTCCTAGAGCAAGGGTCGGCCACTTATGGCTTTTCCATCAAAATTGACCTGCCACCTATTTTTGTAAGGTCTGCAAGCTAATAATGGCTTTTACATTTTTAAATGGGTGCAGAAAGCAAGTCAAAAGAACAACAATCATTTCATGACATGTAAAAAATATATAAAATTTTAATTTCAGAGCCCATAAATAAAGTTTTATTGGAACAGAGTCATGCTCATTCGTTTTTATATTGCCTATAGATGCTATTACACTATAAGTGCATAGCTGAGCAGTTTTAACAGAGACCATACAGCCCTCAAAGCTAAAGTATTTACTATCTAGTCCTATAAAGGAAAAGGTTGCCAACCCAGATCCAAGAGGTAAGACAATTCTTTGCAGAAGTGAAACCTGCATTCCTATAGAGAAAAATTCAGGTCCATTTATGCATTAGATTAACTCGTACCAAATACACAAAGATTTCACTAAATAGAGTCTTTAATTGCTATTCCTCTTACCTCAAAGTATGTTCTGCTGCTTGAACTTTACTTAATCCTGCTTGATGAGGTTGGAAGAAAAGTCTATTCATATTGGCCAGTTCCACCTTGTCATAGTCAAAGAGTAGTAACTAAAATGAAAATAGTGATATTCTGATGAAAAACATAAGAAAGAATGAACTAGTGAGTTTTACATTTGATGGGTTTAACAGTTTGGCAGTAATAATAAACTCTGAAACTCTAGTTGCCATATATTAACTCATTTAATGACCATATGAGGTAAGTATGTAGATACTATTATCCTCATTTTAGAAAGAACTAGGACATTTGCTCAAAAGCCACTCAGCTAATTTTTAGTGGAAAAGGGATTTGAATTCAAATATTCTCAATGTAGCTTCTGTACCCTAACCACAATGCTATACTGACTCTCTAAATGTTTGCTAAGAAATTAATGTTCATTTCATTTCGCTCCTATTTTTGCTAAAAGCCAAGAACCCATTAGATAAATAAAATTTTTCAATAAGATAAATACAAATGCCATAAAACTATAGTAAAGCATGATTATAATTTATACCTGATTTACTCCAGAAGTCAGTAGTTCTCTACATGATAGGCAAAGAGAATGTTTTTACCTTACCAATGCCACATCTTGTCAGCATTTCAGCAGTCACACTACCAACTCCACCAACACCTACTATTGCTACAGCAAAGGTACGGATTTTCTGTAAAATGCAAAATTATATATGTCTTGGTTAATAAGTCTTCCTCAAAAGTTATTTTAATTTATTGAAATCACCTTCAAAAACTTGGAAAGGTTTATTATACCTCATAGTCGCTTACAATTCCCATTCGTTTCAATGCCATCAGGCGGCTTAAAACAAAGAAACAAAAGATGTTTTAAAGGTTACACAATCTTAGTGACATAGGTAAACATACATCACAGAAAACAGACTCCAAAAGTCAGTCATTGCTAATCTTTTAAAAGAGGAGAAATCTTTCCATCAGTTCCGTTTTACCAGATGAAACTAAATCAATGGGGGCAGCTTTAAGAACACTAATGCCTGAATACACTTCCAGCCCATGAAACAAGATTTTTTAAATTGGAAATAATTTTCCCTCAACATGCCTAAGATATGACTTCAGTGTCTTCTAGCTTCTGGAATGTTATGATGTGCCCTAGTATGAATCTATTTTCATCCACTGAGTACTTAGTAGACACTATCAAATTGTTTTTCAGTTCTGGGAAATTTCCTTGAATTTGATGATTTCCTTGTTTGGTTTGTTTTTCCTGGATTATCTTTCTGGAACTCCTATTATTTGGAAGTTGGACCACTTGGACTGGTCCTCTATTCTTATTTCCTTTCTTCTATTTTCCATCATTTTAGTTTCCTACTCTATTATCTGGATTTTTTTTCAACGGATAATGATGATGTTGGGGATGTGTTATTTTGTTGTGTTTTGTTTTGTTTTATGTTAGGAGCTTCTCTCATCCTTTGTTCTGCTCATATTTAAGAATCAGACATTAATAAAGCAAAGATGTGGGCAATGCTTGTTGACTTTGGGCTTCACCATAAGGTGATCTGGCTGAGCTATTTAGCAGAAACCCCAATATTACTGTCTTTTAGTCTTTCTTCTTGGTTCTATCAGCTTCTCTGGAGAAAAATCTTTCAATTTCCAACCTGAAAGCTGTTTATGGCTGTCCGTTTGGAGGTGTTAAGTGGAAGAGCAAGGCTGGGAGTCATTGCACTCAGTATTGTAAACAAGGACCTGCTTCAATTAATAGAAATCCTCCATTTTATTCCCTCCAATGAGTAAATCTCTAGTCTTCTCTTTTGATAGGGAAGAGGCATTAGCATTAGCTCAGCTACAAAAAGTGAAGTAGGAAACCTGGGCTCTGTTTCTTCAACAGATTTTCAATCATATCTTTTTTCTAGCCCTACCTTAAACCCTTCTAGAAGTACCTGTGCCCAATCCTGAGCCTTTGGGGAATTCTGTGGTGTAAACTGGATTGCAGGCTTGAGAATCAACTTTTTTAGATCCATTAAATCAGTTATCAGTCATCCATCACCTTTCTATTTCTAAGACTTTGTTACTATAATCTTCAAGTACAGGAACCTAATCATCCTCATTATTAATAGAAACCCTCTGTTTTTTCAATGGGGATTATGCTTTTATAAAATTCCTTTACTGTCACCTTGGTGGGACAAGGTGTGATCAATCTGCCAACTTTACCTTAATGCTGTCTTTAATCTTCATAAATAACCCTAGAAAAATGTATTGCAATCCCCTTTTACAAATAAGAAAAAAGATTCAGGTTAACTTGGCCACGATTAGCTAAATGGCAAACAAGTATTCAGAGCTGAGTTTTTAAACTAGTATTTGAAACCAGGTTTTCTAACTTTAAAGCCTCTGCTCCCCTTTCAATTTTCTCCATATGCCTGTAATTATATTCTATAACAGATAATTTTAGTTATTTGATCATTTCACAACCACTGAGTTTCTCAAATTAAAGTAAAAGTTCTTTGAGGGTCAGAGGCTTTCTATTATATTTCTTTTGTGTCACTTCATGCAATTAAAATGAAGCTGAGCACTTACAAACCTCTCTCCTATATTTTTTGATAACCCTGTACTTTATAATTCCTACTACTCATATTGCAATCCTATGTTTACCTTTCTATATATCTCACACTCACCTGGTAATCTCTGGAGGGAAATGACCATGTCTACTTTGTATCCCCAGTGTCTATGCATAAGAGATATTCAGTAAATGGTAGATAATACCATCCAGGAGGCTGGAGATGAAAAGGTGTTCACTAAATACAGTATTTGCTAAGCAAACAATTCAAAAAATTAAGGCTGACATTGATCAAACACCCGCGTACTAGTGAAGAGCTTTGGGTGACAACTGCCATTTCTTACGCAGCCGTTTTAATAAAGACAAAAGGTGCAAATAAGAAAATACTAAATGTTTAGATTCGAGTTCTGAAAGTCTGTGATTATTACAATGTCAAAGGGTGGTCTCATGTTAAAACAATGTCTGAAAGATGAATCTAAATATATCATCTACATCTCTTTGCTTTTCATTCTTGGACGGAATATTTCAAAACCTTCATTTGTAAAATTAGAAAATGTTGAAGGATGCCGAAGGGAATAGTTTCCACTCGTTCTGGTTAGAGATGTAAGTTCATGCCAACTCAAAACTCTTAAAAATGTTGGATCATAAACTCTTCCTGTTTGGCAACACAGTGAAAACACAAGCACCCTCCTTAAAGAAAAAGAGCAACACCACCACCTTTCCCATCTCACCCACTTTAAAAACTTTCACCTACTTTAAAAACTATCCAATTTTTTTAGCCACATACTCAGTGG